TTTGGTTGACCAGAGCTCTGTGGAGCACTCAGCTGGGGAATCAGATGCTGGTGCAGCTGAGGACTGATGTTGTCACAGTGATGCCGGATTCCACATACCCATCTTAAAAAATGATGTAGTGGGACAAGCACTGTGACACACTTCTGAAAATTGTGATGGCTTTTTGCGAACGGCGGAGGCTACAAGGAGGTTTGGAAGAGGTGAACCAGAAGGAAAAGGATTAGTCTGCTTTTTATCTTCGTCGGTTGTTTTCATTCTTTCTTGATTTTTTTTTTTTCCTTTAGATGATCTGTTTCTATATGCAAGTTAGCAGTTGTACATAAAGGAAAATTTCCTGCTATTAAGAAACAAAAGTTGTCATGGTTGCTGGTTGGGCCAGCGAGCATTGCATGAAGTATTGAATCCACGTGAACGCTTTGTGGAAGTCCACACAACTGGGCCAGATTTTTCACAGAGATCTGAAGTACCAGTAGGAAAAGTTAGGAGCAGCATTCTTCAAAGCGTATGGGTTTCAGCTGTGTGTATGTGGTAGAAAAGCATGTGTAGTACCACCTGGTGTGCACTGTCTGTGTGGCAGTATTTTGCTGACGAGTTCCAAACAGTATCTCTCCTATAACAGAATGATAAAACAAAACTCTCCTTGTGGACATCTCAGAATGGAAGTCCAGTAAGCTCAGCAGTCCTCTTTATACACTTTCTATATTTCAGTCCGATTTCATACACTCCAGGACACTGCTGACATGGGATATGTATTTTGCTGTGAAACTTGACCTATGTATGGCGTTCTCTTGACTTGATTGCCCAGTACAAATAGAATTGAAAGTGCAAATAACCCACGGCCACAGTGGGCTCAACTGGAGTCCCACTCGGTTTAGAGGAGTAATACCTTCAAAGTTTTATGAAGCCAGCACGGCATTTTATCTAACAGCATTCCTTCAGTATTTCTTGAATGGAGCTGCCGTAGTCTTGCCTTGTGTGGAGCCCTTGGAGCTGCTGCTCTCCAGAAGCAAGGAACACAATGGGTTGGAGGGGAGGGAGTAATGAGCTTTGGGCATAACAGAGGTTCAGCATTTAAAGGAACTGGGGGTTCCTGCTGACTGTGTGTACTTCTGAACTGTTCTTTATTGCCTTTTTCTATCACTTGGAAAAGATAATAGTAATATTGCTGTTCACTTTCATTTTATGCAGCCAGTTCTAAACTCTTCAAATCCACTTTTTATGCAGACCAGGAGGGAGAAAAACGCTTTTATTCATGAAGTGGCACTCTCTTTGTTCCAGTTTCCCTGGTTGTGCTTATTACCTTGGCTGCTATGTGTGCTTGGCTCTCTCAAGTCATTCTTCTCTAATGTGGTGGTGATGCAGGACAACCAGAGGGTATCCAAAACCCTGTTTTAGAGGGCTTTCTCCTCTTGGCTGAGCAACCCTAGTAACTGAAGTCAAGGAAGCCCTATTGTGCACTGAGGAATGTGGTGGGAGGCTGCTGTGCTCTTCCTAGCACACTCAGCGCTGGCATGAAGGAACCAGGAAAGCAAAGACTGACTTATTTGAAAGATCTCCCCACCTTCTTCCCGCAAAGCATAACGTTGCATAGCAAGTGTCGTACCTACTTTGCTGCCTGACAACTACAGTTTGTATTTCATTTTGCCCAAGCCAACCCACAGAGCTTACATAAGTGCCTTGCTGTCCCATTCCATGTCAGACCAATTTTAAATTTAAATCCCAGTGCTGTGGGATATTGCCTGATCAGATTAGAGAACATGTACCGAGTACCTTTGCTGCTGTATTGCCAGTTCTAGATTCTTGTACGCAAGTCATGCTTCTTGAAGTACTACTGTGTATGAAGAGTGTATATTGGAGGTTAGGGGCTAATTTAGGTAATTTATTATTTCTTAGGCTTGGGGAAAATTATTTTTCGTAGCATGGAAAAAAACCTACTTTCAAGCCTGAGGAATAAAAGCATTTTTTCAGTGTCTGATGCTGATCTACTGTATCACCATATCTGCACGAATGTCCACGCACTGACACCACTGACCACCTCCAGCGTGGTCTCCAAATAGAGTAAAGGCATCAGCTGCGGTAGGACGGGACAGATGCAGACTGGTCAGCTCCCACCTCCATCCTCTCCAAACGAGCCTCTGCTGAGTCCCTGGGCTTGCCGCTGCCCGGAGCTGCTGAATACTGGCCGTGTGTGCAGTGGGCTGTTTGCCAAAGGTTGTGCTGTGCAAGAAAGTTAAGCACGTCTCCACGTGTCATTGTTGCAACTACTGCTTTCAATCTCTCTTAGTATTAAAAGCAATCAGACTGCCTGCCAAACCCCTCTCCCCCTCGATACCGATGTCTGCACGCTTGCTGGGGTGCTTTGTGAAGGTTCAGCCTGACATTCAGCCTTACAGTAGTGTTGAAGCAGCTCTGGGCACGTTCCTCCAGGAGGACTCACAAAAACCCAGGTTCTTTGCTTGAACCTGGAATAGAAAATGAAGATTTTCTAATGAACCCTCTGGTTTGTCATTGTCATGGTCTCTTACCCTGGACTAAATTACTCACTTTATTCAGCAGAGGCTTTAACGCATACCCAGAACTCTCTGGAGTCTGATAGGGCTGAAGCGGTGAGGGCAGGCTCTGGTCCCAGCACTCGCCTGCGGAGCCTGTTGGCAGCTGTGGGGGGGTGAGTCCACGTTCCGGTTGGCTTCGCTGTTCAGTTCTGAGATTCAGCACAGATCCTCTTGCCGGCGGTGAGGATGCCTTTCTCCCTGATTCTGAGCCAAACAAGAGACAGACGGGTACATATGTATCTCTTTGTGTAGTGTTGGGTTATTTCAGGTTTTTTATGTTGTTTTGGGTTTCTTTTTCCACACATCTTCAACACACTCAGTCTCTTCCAGTACTTGGAAGCTCCTGATGATGATAAAGCACCGCTCAGATGTAAATTACAACAACAAAAAAAATCTAATTAGCGCAGGACCTGTTGGTAAAAGTACTGGAACACCCTGGTGATCCTTTACTTCCTACAGTCCGTGTGGGCTAGAAACACTTCCAGCTCCGTGTGTTGATCAGTAGGTGGTGCTGGCAAGCTGCACATTTGTTCGCGCACTGGTGGAGCCCTCTGCACCATTGATCTACAAACATCGAGGTGGGGAGGTCAAAGCTCCAGCGTGATCTCAATCTGGCCTCCGAACAGGAGCCCCATTTTTACCCGCACGCTGATCTGTATTTCCTCGTGTGTAAGGAAATGCAGTACCTGAAATGCTCAAACTTCTTACTACAGCTAGAAATGACATTTGTTGGTACACAGCACTGGACAGGCTTGCACCGCGATATGGATAACTGAGTCCACAGTTGTGTGTAGGGGACCTGTCCGTACACAGAAGGACTCGTGAGGGTGTGACGGTGCATAGATGGAGTTTCCCACTTTCAGTTCCATCTTGAAGTGGAACAGAGAGGAAGGCTACAAGCATGATCCTTGTTTCTTTCCTTGCTCCGGCATACCTATGGCTCATTCCTCTTCAGCTTACCGCTGAAAACTTTTCTTTTTTATGATTGTTCGATGTGGCCTTATAATAAGAATTATAATCATGCAACGATCTGAAGAAAAGCATTGTTTATAACGGAATCTTTACATGTTTTTTTTAATGTTTCTTTTAACATAATTTACAATTAGAAGTGAACGGCTAAGAATCTCAATCTCCCTTTACACAAGTCTGTAAATAAAATTATTGTTGATCTTTGCATGACGTCGTGGCCACCGTTGCCATAAGGTGCAGCTTCACACTGGCAAGTGTTTAATTGATTGCAGTCTCCAGTTTGAGGACTGGTGGCTGGCATTATGGTAAAAGGAGTTGCTAAGAGGAAGCAGACAATCAGTCAGTCGTGAATGGGCATATACTCGACATGCGATAGCTGCCAGCTGACTGTAGTTTTTCCAGTTGAAGTGGAGCTGTGGAAGTTTGTGGGAGTTACATGCACTTCAGAGCTGACTGAAATGTCCCAGCTCATTTTTCATAATGCATATTTGCTTGCTTGATTTTTCCTTTGTTTAGATTTTGAAAATTTGTATAGTACCAGTAATGGTTCTTGAAAAGGTGCAAGAATGCAACTCGTGGTAGGAAACAGGAGGTTGTGATTATTGCAGCCTGCTGTCTTACGGTGCTTATAATTGAAGCTTAGTGAAACATTTGTCTTATATTAACAGCTAATTATAACCACATGCAAAACTTAACGTTATTACCCAGGAGTAAGTCCCGCTGCTTAATCTGATTTGTTGTTTAATTCCTTTGGGAGTATTTTAGGGAAAGGAGTTTTGGATATGGGCACGCTGTTCATAACTCTTTTATTTCACTATTGGAGGCGTCAAATGCTATTTCTGGATAGCCACAGCTTCCTATAAATGAAGGAATTGCACAACCGTGGGAACTCTCCTTCACTTTTTTACATGCGGAACGAAAAAATGGAATAGTTTCATTGCCCAGGTTCGGGGCTGGTATATGTATTATTCACTGGGCCGCCAAACAGAAATCTCATTACTCTTTCATCTTTTGTATAGAGAGATATATATAAAATGATATATATAAATATGCTACCTCCAGTACAGTGCTGTACTTTAGAGTTACTTTGTTTCTGTAGGCTCATAAGAGCTCTGTGGGGGGACAAAAATGAGTAACTGTGGCTTGGAGCTTGTTTTGGCGGACTGGCTCGGTTCTGCCCTGCTTCCTACTGAGCCGGTGAGAAAAATCCCCAGGGCAGAGCCGAGCCCTTTGGCGAGA